GTAATATGCAAGTATTTGCCTTATGCATTGAGAGAGTGGTATTCATCAGAGGTGGTAGACAATAGGAGTAGGTTCTAGGAAAATAATCCTTCTTGCTTTCGTTGTGCTTACCTGGCAGCCTCTCCAGTTCTTATGTATTATTCCTCTTGATCTGAGTTATACTAGTAAACCCAAACTTCTCTGTTACTAATCAAATGTGATAGAAGAGTTTCATAAAACAAGCATCAGGAGGTTCTGAACAAGAACCTAAGGGAACTGTTATAAATAAACCACACACACTTTATTCCAATAGATATAGGAATAAAAGTATGTTGCTGACTTGAAGCCTTCTTTTGCTTCCTTCCGGAACCTGGCCTTGCAGGTTTCTGATATTCTTACAGAACTTAAGGGTATCAGAATGCTGTTTAACACTCCAGCCTCATATCCGTTTATCACTCCCACCTATTTGTTTCCAAAATGGCTAGGCCTGGCTGGAGGAACTTGATCTCTCCCACTTCAGGTTTTCAGACTTCCTTTGGCTTTTACCACCTGCTGTGTATCCCTGACATTATACTGCAAGACTCCCGTGGAGGGGCACCCACTAGATGGCTTACGGGGTACCCCAAGATGGTATAGGCTCCAATGGGCACTGCTTTTCAGCTGTCTCCCTCTGCTCAGACAGAGAGGGCAAGCGGGTCACCAAATTCATTGCCTGTGCCACCAGGAAAGAGATGCCAGTCTCCCTTCTTTCAGGCACACCCAGTAGCTACAATTGTTTCTGTCAGAGCCTTCCTTACTTAGTTATTGGAAGAGAAGCAAAAGACCCAGTAGTGTGTCAAATTAATGATTTAACAATTCTTTAATTTTCTATCATCTCCCAATGACCTCTTATGAGGACTGGGAAAGGCCTGTGGTTAATAGAAAAGGGTTGGCTCAGCTTTCATGAGTCTTAATGGAGACATGTCTGGTTTCCTTGATGACTCTTTTTTGAATAATATTTTTCTCAGCTTTCAATGGTCTTAGAAATTATCTGGAAACTGAAAAACAAAAATTAAAAAACCAACAACTTGTTTAGTAGATTCCACTCCTAGAGATTTTGGTTTAATTGGTCTGTGGTAGTAGGTCAGGGATTTAAAAACTTCACAGGTGGTTCCAATCAGCAGCCTTTGCTAACGACCTCCTTAACACTAATTGCTGTCACCTGTGGGCTTCTAGGACTAATTCTGACACTCGTCAAAGAATCCCATTCAGTACCATGTTACAGACTGTATTAAAGAATACTAGAGAGTACAACGGTTTCTGGAATTCTGGAATGAAAGAAACCTAAAAAAAATCATTTTGCTCACTCTTCTCTCTCTGGGATCTGTAAACTAACAACTACAGAATCACTTTGAGCATGTACTTAAAAGGCATATTCTGGGGACTTATCCTTACACCTTCTGAATCAACATTTCTCAAATGCGGTGAGGATTAGGCATCTGCATTTCAATGAGCTCTTCTGGGTGATTCTTAAACACATTCGTGTTGAGAACCAATAATCCGTAGCAGAGGTTCTCAACCCTGGCTGCACTTTAGCATCACCTGAAGGGCTTTAAAAAGCCCCATGACCAGCCCCCCACTCTGTGCCAATCACATCAGAAACTATCCAGGTGGGACCAACCTAGGTATTTGTGTTTGTTAAAGCCTCTCTGGTTGATTTTAATATGCAGTTAAGGCTGAAAACCACTGTTGTGGAGATTCTGGTTTAATTTGTTTGGCATAGGTTTAAGACATTAGTAACTTCTAAATGCACCCTAGATAATTTCAATGCACAGCCCAGGTTGAGAACTACTAAAAATATTCAGGTTAGTATCATTTTCAATTTTGTTGGACTTCACCCAGTGTGGTCTCTAATACTCTTCAGCCTGCACATTTAGGCTTGCCTTTCTCTTCTAGTCCAGATCCAAGCAAGGCTTGAAGCAAGGCTGATAATAATCTGGAGTTGTAGATTCACGAGAAGTTACAGGTTCATGCAGACACAGACCTCTAACACCTGCCTTCCTGAGCCAGTCTCATCAATTAATCCATCATTCATTCAACAAATGTGCATTAGACCCTTGATATTTGTTAGGTACATCCTAAAATGTATGGCATATCCTTGATGTTAGGTACATCCTAGGATGATATGTGCTAAGACACAGAGATGTGGAATTCTGTGGATGCAATGAATAAGATATTTTGTTTCTGACATCTGAAGAAGTGTATACATTCACAGAGATAAAGGAGGGAGATGTACCTGCAAACAGAGGGTAGTAATTATTATAACAGATGAGTGAACAAAGAGCTGTAGAAATGCAGACATGATAGCAACTGAAGCTGCTTCAGAGAGTCAGGGAAGACGTTGAGGAGATGGTTTTTAAGCCAAGTCTGCCCTTACATGGCCTTAAACACTCACCATGATGTGATTTCTGTCTACCTCATCTCTTGCCACTCATCCCTTGCTACTCTCATCCTGTTTTCAGCGTTAGCTATAATAAATGCCTTTTATTTCTTTGAATATCCCACACTCTCTTAACAAGCCTTTGATCTGCATTTATTCCCTTTGTCTTGAACATTCTTCCCTCTTTCTCCACTTACACCTCCTACCTAGGACTCTGCTTAGCAGTTATTTCCACAAATAGATCCTCCCTGACTTTTTGATGATGATAAATGTCTTTGTTATACATCCATGGACAAGCCTGTAGTGCTTCATTTATAGAACACACCCACTTTATTGCATGTCTATGACTCCTCCCCTTCAACCCTGTGAGTTCTATGAAAGCAAGAGAAAGGAGCTATCTCCTTCACTGCTGTCTCCTGTGCACAGCCCAGGGCTAGCACTACTGCATGAATGAATGAATTGAATTTCACGAACAGGGAATGCTATGTGCAAGGCATAGGTGTGGAATTCTGTGGCACGTCCTAGCAACAGCAAAAAGTTGGGATGGCCCCACTGTAGGATGGACAGGAGGAGATGTTCTGAGATGAGCAAGAAGTCGGCTGTTAATAGCCTTATATGTAACCCTAAGTGTTCTGAACTTTACTCTGTAGGGAGTAGGAAGCCAGGGAAGGTTTTATGTGCAGGAGAATAATAATTAGGTTTACCATTCACGATAATTACTATGGAAGCAATGTGGCGGATGGACTGAAAAAAGGAGAGTAATTTAAAGGAGATCAGTTAGGAGACATTCCAGTACTGCAAGTGAGAAATGATGAAGACTGCCCTGAGAGTGATGGGGCTCTTTACAAAAGGCAATTCCGAGATAGAATCTACCGCACTTGCCGACTATCTGCCTGCAAAGGGAGTGTGAAAGACACCATAGTTTTGCTTGAGAAGGTGACTTGTTTGGGGGAAGAAATTTTTGGAAATATGAAACAAAAGAAAAGAAGAGCAAGTTTTAGGGGGAAAAAAATGAGGTCAGAGAGTTCCATGCATCCATGGGCATCTAGGTAGAATTTTTGTTACTGTTGTTTTAGAGATAGGGTCTCACGCTGTCTCCTAGGCTGGAGTCCAGTGGTGAAATCATGGCTTACTGCAGCCTAGGTAGAGTATTTTTTGCAGTTAGAAATGCATAAAATCTCAGCTTGGTACCTTATTGATTGTGGAAGTATCTGGTTTTGCCAAATTGACTATGTAGACTTCCCGTTTATGTACTAAAAGGTAGACTTTAGAAACTGGCAGTGTCACATTGATTCAATGATTTGTGCTACTTTGGCCCACGACTGGCAATCAGAATGACTACTTCAAAGACAGTCTCCATCAAAGTCACTTTTTGTCATTTTATTCAGTTAGATACATAATGCTAACCCCACCCAGATTCTGAGGTGCTAACAATTTTATTGTAGGTGGCTGTGCTATTATATTTCTTTCTCATTAGATTGTGAGCTTTGAAAAGGGCTATCATATTCTTGTTAAGCTGGCACCAAGCATTAATAACAGAAACTGAAATTACTGGATGGATGGGTGAATGGATAAATTTATGAGCTGATGGCAGGGATGTAGGATGCTTTCTGGAGCTAGGCACTTAGGAATCGAAAACCTCATATCCTATAACATAAATGCCTCAGTGGTTTTTCAGTGAGTTATTTACTGCAGCCACAAGGATAGAAGAGCTCACCCATAAGTATTTTTAAATGGCCCTTTATTGAATTATTTTCTCTTGGCAATATGAAATAATCCAGGGAATTTTAAAGTTTATGGCTATAAAAGACTACATGTTTCTTGATACATGAACCTTTGATATTGTTAAATGAAAGAGAAGCATTTAAAATAACTGTTATTGAAAACTCTTGTTTAGTACTGTTCTAAAGGCTGGTAGATGGGCACATGATCAGACTTTTGTTTTAGGAAAGTAACTTTGTGGACCATTTTAAGAGGTTGTAGGAGAAGAAATAATTCCAATTGGACAGAGGAGAGATGACAAGGGTCTGGAATAATCCAATGGCAGTGAAATGGGAAAAGTACATTAATTTTATTCACTATGATGTACTATACCCTGAGGATACAATGGTAACCAAACCAGACAAGTTCCTACCCTCAAGAAGTTTATAGACAAACTGCAGAGATGCACAGCAATCCATTCATTATAGTAATACATGTAATGTTGTAGCTATGACAAACTGAAATAGGAAAGGAAAAGTTGAACTGAAAGGAAGCATCTCAGGTAAAACTGACAGAATTAGTTTTGTTTTTGCAGTATCAGAATAAATAATAGACATGTGTCCAGCTCTTCTTTACTGACATAATATTCAAACTCATTTGTATGACACAAATTACATGAAATCCCATCAAAGAAAATGTATGAAGTGACAAATGTGTGGAACAAGTTAAAATGACCTTTAACCAAAAGATGAGACCAATAAGCTATGAATATAAATTCTGATTATGCAATTTAATTCCACTTGTTTTTCAATGTCATCATCCAGTTGGAATAATAGTACTATGAGCTGATGAGATACAATTTATTCTAGGTTTCTCTATTTTGGTTTTTTTTTTCATTCAGATGTTGCAAGAGCAATTGAATTACTGGAAAAACTACAGGAATCTGGAGAAGTACCAGTGCACAAGCTACAATCCCTCAAAAAAGTGCTTCAGAGTGAGTTTTGTACAGCTATTCGAGAGGTATGGCACTAAGATTTTAGTAACTAAATTCAACCATATGTCTTCTTCATAGAAAACATGTCTTTTCTACACAAACAGTTGAAATTGTTAAGATTGGAACTACATTTTAATTTTTTGTTTTTAGCTCCTTGGACAGATGATAAAATATAGTTTAGCCTGCTAAATTAGATCCAGCCAGGATTTATACATTCATATAAAACCAAATGTTGATCTTCTGGTACCAATGAAGGGACTGCGTAGCAGGTGACTGTTGCATGTAGTCTATGCTATTTAGTGGTCACATGAAGCCACCTAGAAATTCAGGTAGAACTAGTTATCATTAATAGGGGCTGAGGTTGTCTGAAAAGAACATACAATTAATTCTTTCCCAGGTAAATCTGAAGTAGTAACCTCCTACTGACTAAACGTTACTGTCTAAGGCAATGATGGAAAATATACAGTTAGGCTGGTATGTCTTTCTAACAAATCTACATTGTAATCCTTTCTTGACTAATGGTTTCAAGAAGACTAAGGTGAAACAAGTATATTGAAATGACTATTTGAATTTTGTATTGACTTTGAGTGGGATTGACCATTCAACTAATGAATTTAATTGTTTACAAGATAAGTCACTTGAGATCTATAAACTATATTGTTTTACTTGGTAACCCATTACTCCTTCCCCAATAGGAACCAAGTAATAATTCATTAGTTAGAACCCAAAGTCCATAAATCCATTTGCCCTGCCAAAAGTCCTCAATGTTGAATTACCTACTGTTATTCTCTCCAAAGTCTGTTGAAACCGATGACTACCTAGAGAGTTTATTGTAGCATAGGGCAGGCACCTCTCATGAATGCTTGTGTCACTCCACCTTTCTCTTTACAAATCTTCTTGTGGCTAATGTATATTCTTTTACCTCAACAATACCAGTTTAGTCACTAGGCAGGAAAGATCAAGGTAAAGACATACAAAACTTCTCACTACAGATTTAAACTGGTGCCTATGCAATGCATGTAAAATTTGACCTTTGTTGGAATTTGTTGACTTATGCTGTGCTTGTGCTAAATATTTATCAGGTGAAGTGTTCACTATTTAATTTTTGTTAATATTGAACACAGCTTAAGTACATAACCATAATAACGTCTCTAAGTTTTAACCTATGAATTTGATTGAAGGCTGTAAGGAAATTTCTCAGCATACGGATTCTTTGCCATTAGCTTCCCCTCAGTGGGAAAGGTATAAAATATCTCAAAACTGCATGAGCGTCCTCTTGATTACAGGTGTCACTCCTGTGCTCACTCTGTAGACCAAGGCCAAATTTCCTATACTCTGTTTTCTTCCTTCACAGAGTGCCATTCCCCCGAAATTTGATGGCCATTTTTTTTTCCATTTTAGAGATTCTACCATCTCTTTTATGTCTTAGCATTCTGCTTTCCACAGAAGTAACCAAAGGATAGGATACATCAAATATATACCTCTGCTCATTGAGTACATGGCTTATGATGAATTCAGAGTCTCTACCACCATGGAACTCACAGTCTAATGGGAGAAGACTATGATAAATAAATGTACAATGCAATATCAGAGTGACAAGACTGGAGAGAAATAAAGCAGGATTAGAGGGGTCTGGTTGAAGCTCTATTATTTAATGTGGTCAGGAACAAAAGCAAATAAATGAAAAAAAGAAAGCAAAAAAGTAATGGAACAGTCACACAAATATCAGGGCTCATAGTGTTCCAGGCAGAAGAAATCACAAGTGCAAAAACCAAAAGCTAATATGTATGCAGTAGAGTTAGCAAGGTAGGCTTCCTAGAGGTAGCTGGAGAGGAGAACACATAGGTCCGGCAGGCCATATAGTAAGAACATTGTATTTCTTTCTAAGTATGATAGGAAGCCCCTGGAGAGTTCTGACCTGATTTTATTTGCTTTTTGAAAATGTGTGTCTGGATGCTGTGATGAGACTACAAGTGTGAGTACAAAAGTAGAAACAAAGAGAGACTAGTGATTAAGTAGTGAGTAGATTGTGTGAGAGATGAGATGATAGCAAACTTGGACAAAGGTGGCAGCACTGCAAAATGGGAAGCTGTCTGATTCCAGATATATTTTTTTAGAGCAAAGTCAACAGAAATTATTAATGAACTGGATGGCGATATGGAATGTGAAAGAAAGAAGACCCTATTGAATCTTAGGTTTGGGCTTGAACACTTGAATGAATGATGTTATAATAAGGTGGACTAGTTTTGCAGAAGGCTATCCAGGAACTCCATTATGGACTTAGTAAGTTGATGATGCTTTTGAGATATCCAAGTAGAGATGTCTAACAGGCATCTAAATCTGAAGGTTGGGGGAGAAGTTGGGTCTGGAAATATAAATGTGGTATGGATATCTGTTCAAATAAACACACCAGCCTTTTTTTCTTTCTTTCTTTTTTTTAGAGTTTGCTAAGGAAAATGAGAATGAAATTAAAATGGAAAGTAAATATGGGGGCTTTGTTTAGGCATTATAAATCCATCTAACAAACTCTTCCCATGGTAAAGTGTGTGCGTCATTGGTAGTCCATAGAAGTCTATAACTGATCTATAGACAGTTTGGCATTTTCACAGGGAAAGCAGATGATGTAATTTATCTACCTTACCTTTTTTAAATTTGAACTAGTAAGATTAATTTTATATTCACAGTAAACTCCTTAGTAATAATATTGTTCTTAAAGGCAATGCACGTTATAGAGGAATTGTAAAAGATTACTTCATCTTGGCTAACATTTAATGGCCATTCATATGATATTGTTTATATTTGCTAAATTTGGAATTTTCTTTATTATTCTTATTGTGTTTATTTACATTTGCTGTGGGAAATAATAATAGTAGCAATATATAAACAATGATTCTGAATAATATTATGAATCTTTCTAGTAAAAAGTTATTCAATTAAAATATAAAATATAAATGCATGTTGCCAGGTAGGTGAAACCAAATGCCAGTAAAGAAAAGTGCAGTTATAAAGTATGATAATAAATGTCTCAAAGTTACATTTAGTGAGCCTAGAATACTTCCTCTCTTGGTGTCTTGGGTACTGATTGTAATACTGGCAAAAAAAAAAAAAAAAAAAAAAAAAAAACTTCGAAGTTTTGGTTTTTTATTCAAATAAAGCTCAGAATCTTTGTGGTTATCTGAGTTTTTCAGAAATATTTGCTAGTTAATACTTTTCCTTTTGAAAGTTATTGATGTTGTCATGCAAAACAGAAAAGAACAAAAATGACAGTGGCATCATTCTTAGTTGCACTCAGCAAAGCAAAAAGAGTTGCAGGTCACACTTTTGCCAACAAGATTGTAAAACACAAATTATGCTCAAAAAAGAAAGCAGGACAAGCTTTTGCCAAAAATATTTTTATTGCCTTACATAATAGTAGTTAGTATTATATGTTGAAATAATTCCATATTTTGCTTTACTTTTGGATGAAACCACTGAATCAGCTCCTGGCATATGTGCAGCACCTATATGAAAAGAATAGTTTGGTAAAATTTTAATTTTTTAACTAGAAATAGATGGCCTTAAAAGAGATTTGAAGCTCCCTTAACTATATTTTTCTATAACCTGTAAGAAAGCATGAAAGTATATGCTGAGATCAGTACTGAAGGAAGACCATCTACATGTACAACTAAGAAAGGCATTCCTCTGTCAGGAAGTAACTTACACTTGAATGCAAATCCTCACATATCTTTATTCACAGAATACAGACAGTGGTAAGCAATGCTTTTCTTAGTCATGTTTTATTGCTGAAGGATCTCTAAAGAGCCCTGATCAATATTTAAATTGCATCTAATCTGTGCAAGTGATTTTAAAGAACATGGCAGAGAAATGGGCTGACACATGATACTACTTTTCTATAATGAGATGTGCTGGCTGATAAGAGCACATTTACACAAGTTTTTGAATGAGAGATGAAATAAATATTTTATGGTACCAATATTCTCAGTAAAGATCATTTCTGTGATTTCAAGTGACTTCAAGCTTTAGCTTCACACTGTATTTATTAATTGAATTAGCCTAAACATATAAATAGTGTTAAAATATTATGATTATTAAATATTGATTTTTGAATAAAAGAATTCCCTAAGAGAACTGAATTGCAGTGCAAATAGCTCAATTGTCAAGAGTTAGACTTTGCCCCAAAACTTCATGTTCTTTGTGCCTCAGAGAAAGAAATCAATAAATGTATAAGAGATCATATTTTAAGAAGACATCTAATACAAAGAATACAAAGAATACAGAATACAAAGGAATTATTGTGGCAACCAAAGTAATAAAAAAAAAACAATCTGTGTACTATCATCATCTTCTAAGTTGTAAAATGAATTATTCATGCTCCTGCTTTTCAGGATGATGTGCTCATTGACTTGGAGGGTGACGTACTGCTAACAGTGGTCTGTTGTAAGGACTTACTCGCACATTTATAACTGCTATATGCAGGTTTGAAGCAAAAATGCAGAACAAAATGTCATAATCACCAAAAACTGCCTTCTTTGGCCAATCACCAAACTGAATGTTAGTATTTTCTAAAGTAGAACTATAGAATAAGAAAATAAATCAACCCTATAGGGAATGACTGTCATTTTGTGATAGTAGGATTTCAAAACTGGCCTGGTTCTCTACTTCTTTGTGCACGCTACAGTTGAATTTCTCCATCCTCTCTAAAGCTATCTATGGTTATGATAACTGCTTTAGCTAATCACATGTGAGTGGAAGAAGCTATATGTTTCACTTCTTCATAGGAGCCTATGAGTAAGTAAATGGTTTGCCATGAGTAAATCTCTCTTCCCTTTGCTAGGCAATGAGTAAGTTTTATATGATAAATTATCAATCAGTCTGGGTTTAAGAATGAGAAAATAAAAAATATAGCTAACCTTTTATGAACATATAATCTGAGCAAGAAATAAACCTTTGTTACTCTAAATCTCCAAGGTTTAGAGATTATTGTACCTCAGCATTACCCAGGCTGTCCTGACTGATGATACACAAT